CTCAAATAACCATTTTCGTTCTCGCTAATTAATCCCTTAATGTTTCCATTATTATTATTGTTATTATTATTATTATTGTTATTATTATTATTATTATCATTATTATTATTATTATTATTAATATTTTTGAGTATTAAATGATAGGAAAGAAAAAATAAAAAAAAAGAATCCTAAAAAAATCTGTGTAGAAAATATTCTTAACCTAAAGTATTTGAGTGCAATCAGTTTGAAGATGTTCGGACACTCGGAGACACGTTTATGCTGACCTTGAACCAAAATCGGTGAAACGTAACGGAAATAATAATCTTTTTTTTTCAAGTTCGCTTAATTTTAAAAAAATTTTCATCGGAATGTCGTAAAGATATAATATAAAATTTTCTTACGATTTAACAGCGCGTAAAATGTTTAAGAAAATCAACTAGTACATCGCTGTAATCAATTATTGTTGGGTATACGTGTTGGTAATTCGGAATAAATTACATAGTAACACCTGAATGAAATTTAAAATGTAAATCAATTGTGATCGAAGTATTACGTTATAGTATCGTATAATATTTGATTATTCTACGACAATGACAATTTGTTTATTATCTTTGATCGAAAAATCGGAAAAAATACATACCTACTTGTAAAGATGATGCCTAACTACGAAAATCTTCGAATGAAGATTTTTATCGAAGGATTTATGTAAATTGTGTGTGAATAATAAAACATGTTCTGTACGGTCGGTGGAACATGCGTTGTTTGTTAGTCTTTATAACGTTATTAAAGTATCAATACTAACCGTTAATAATAATCATTCAGTTGCTTTTTTTTTTTATTTATTTATGTGCATTTTAAATATTCAACAATTGCTATTCGAACGGTACGAAATACTGCAGGTTTATTTAAAAGATGCATATTTTAAATAATTCTGTAATCATTTAACCGGTTGTTTCCGTATTTTTTTATCCGACTTGCTAAGAAATCAACGAGAAAAAGAATTATAAGCAAATTAAATATAAATCGTTGAAAAGTAATGAAACTTTAAGCAAAGTATTTATGTTCTATCTTTTATTTATTATCACGTGCTTAATTAAAACACCAAATTTTTTGTTTACAATTGAAAAGCAACTAAACCAAACAAACTAAACAATTATTTCGATAATTTTTTTTACAATCGAAAACCATAATTGGAGTTATTGTAAAACCAAGGAATAAAAGAATCATAATTAAATTAAATATATATCTTGAAAAAATAATCATTAGCCCAAATACCACGTAGTTTATGGGCTTCACATTTTACGCGTTCCCACACTATTCGATTAAATGGATAATTTTTCTTTATTTATTAATTTTTGTTTCTTTTTTTAATTATTTCTCCTTCTTTCTTTTTTTCTCATCGTTTGCAACTATTAAGAAATTCTCATTGTTCAGTATCATCATCCATTTGTAGATGATAAGCTTGATATTCAGTTCTTTACCTTTATATTTAATTTTTTGTTTGAATACGCTTTCGATCTTAGTTAAACAAAACCCTGAGATAAACATATAAAATAAAATATTATAGTATACGATAAGCAGTAGGTATAAAGGTATCGTTTATTTAAGGGGTAACATCACTTTAGAACCTAAAAAAAAGTCTTTTTTTGGGAATTTTTTTTGCGAATACTAAATGAAGAATAGGATTTCTTTTCTGAGGGTTGGTTAATCATATATTGGACTATGTAAACAAATATTTCTATTGATTTTAGACACAACATGGAGTCGTTATTCGTGGTTGAACAAAACCCTTTTTTTTGGCTAAAACGGGCGGACTCATATCTGAACAAGTATAAGACTTGGAACAAAAAACAAAAGAAATTCTTTATCTATGTACCATATATGGAATACTCCTATATGAACAGTTGATACGGGAAAGAATGTCCCAACATTACGGTACCGACAATATTTATTTTCTTTCTCTTCCGAAACACTTTGTCCAATCTGCGCATGCTTGAAATTTCTCTAAAATATCAGTAGTGGGGATATAAACTGGAGAATAATTTTGTGGTTAAAATTGTGTTTACAGTATTATTCATTATTATAATTCAGAAAAATAATCCTAAATTTTTAAAAATTTGTGATTTTAATTTATCAATATTTTATTTTCAACAATTAATTATTAAAAAATGGTGAACTCGTGTTATTTATGTAATAGAAAAGCATCTAGAGCTGACAATATTTCATTGCATAGGTAAGTGCAAATTATTTCCAATTTTTTAAATTAACAAGTTTTTTATGTTCAGAATAATATTTAAATTATAACGAATTTAGATTTCCAAAAAATTTGGACCTACGTACAAGTGGCTAAATTGAAATGAAACTTCCAAAATTCAATAAAAATGAATTATTTTTTTACATTGTTCTAAGCAATAAAAATAAAATTATTCATTACCATTTTGTTTTTCAAAAAAAATTTTATTTTCCTCATAAATAAAATAAAAAGTTATTATAAGAATATATTTTATTTGAATTACTCGGTGTTTTCCCGTTTTCACTTCGTCGGAACAGCTTCCACTTATGGAAACTGTCCATATAGGAGTATTACATATATACTATGTACTATTAGCTAGAGAAGTACGTAGGGA